AGACTTTCAATTAAACAATTGCATTGCTATACATAATAAAGTGAGGTTATATTATTCATATTATTTTTTGACTAGCATTTTGATTCAACTATTCGCGAATATTTTGAACACCAATCCCACAAAATGTAAAAGAACTTGAATTTATTTTGCAAAAAATAATAATTATTTTGATAAAGTATATCGTATTTTTTAGTTGTTGAGAAAAATAGGCAGAAAATTTTAATAGCTTAATCTAGTACTTCATCAACATGACAAGTCGGTATAGCAGGTTAAGTTGGCATTGAAATATCCATCAAAAATCGACAAATATTGCTCTAAACTGCTTTTATCGGCTTTCATTGAAAATATCGTTTGTAATCTTACTTATTCGATAATATCGATCTTGTCTTGAAATATTCATGCTTGAGAAAAGTGAGAGACTCCCCTAGCATCAAATAGATAAGATAAAAAAGGTAGGCTTCTCAGCAACAGCACTTTATTTAGCTATAAAACAATATTAACATTAAAATGTGAATTCATCTGTTTTCCAATCTTTTATCACAAATATGGACGTTTTATTTGCAATATAAAATCTCAAATTTGGTTACTCATTGTAATGTAAAATTGACATCGTAAATAAATTGTAGCTTAAAAGTTCAAAGAACTCTTGAAGTTGGAAAATTCCTATTGTAAAAACATGGAATTTTTTTTAGAGTAGTAAGAAGAACTTTTTTGCAATGTGATCTTCATTCTTCTAATTACAGTGTCATGCCTTTAAGGTTTAACAGCCAATTGAAACGCTTTCTTTACTTCATCTTCGTTCAATGCTTCAATGATTGTCACATTAGCGTCCTTTCGACGTTTGTGATCCAAGATCATTTGACCACGAGTGTTAAACCCGTGCAGTTCAACGGTAACGTGATATTGTTGTTTTTCCCGTACACACACCTCCGAAAACAAAAAAGCTGCCACCAAAAATGCATCACATGCCGAAAAATGCGATGGATTTCTTCGAATTTTATGTAGCAATTGTATATTTTTGCACTCAAGATTTGCAAAGGTTGCGAAGCTCCACTCCTGAAAGATATAGTAATCCCACGTGTTCAGTCATGTTGAGAAGGCATAATTATAAAAATGAATTGAAATTCTTTCGTTAAAAATAAACGTACCAGAGATATATGAATGCTGTCCGGACGGCAAGCTTCCCAAGGTAGAATGGTGATCGGGCATTTAAACGTGTCCAAAACAATGTGTGCCGCTTCGGGATCCATGTAAAAATTAAATTCAGCACACGATGTTTCGTTTCCTATTCCTAAAAAAACTCATACATTTCAAACGAAACAAACAAAAAAAACCGATCAATGATCTTCACCTTTGAAATTTCCACCCATTATGTACAATTCGCCCAACTTCTCTTTGATTTCCGGATAGATTTTGGCTGCCAATGCAACATTAGTCAATGGACCAAGACAAACGAGTGTGACTTTTTGCGGATGCTGAAAACGATAATATTTAAATTACCCATTACAGCAAGTAAAAAGGAATAATTTACCGATAGAATCAAATCTCTGATGATTTCAACAGCATGTTTTTGTTGAGTCAGCGTATTTGGATCGCTTGGATAAATGTCCGGATGCCAAAACTCATAATCACCAAATCCATTTGCACCGTGGAATGTGCCAACTTTTAATTCACATGGGATGAGTGCTTCGGTTGCTCCTTTGTAAATTGGAATCTATAACAAAAAATGTGTTGTAATTATGATGAATTATATGACAATTGAATAAATATTGGCTTACATCAGTGCGATCGAGGCCATCTAAAATGCGATATGCATTTTTAATTGAATTTTCAACCGTTGTATTTCCGTTAACGAGTGTTATTGCAAGCACTTTTATATGTTCAAGATATTTTTCCGCTTTTAAAATCATTTGCAGTGCCCATCCATCATCGACGCCCATATCTGTGTCAAAAATGACATATTTTTCTGCTGATTTTGTCGTCATTTTTGCGTGTTATCAACACAAATGATTCGCACACACTGCGTACACGGATATTTCTCTGTTTAATTTGAAATTCTGTGTTAAAGATTAAAATAATTTGCGATAATTTGGATATCATTGTGGCATATCCCTTATCAGAGAATGCTTATGAAATGAAATGGTACGTAGAAATATCTTTTAATACATAAGCCACTTACAGCCCAAGAGCTACTTGAACAAAAAATATTTATTTTACTTTGCCGCACACCTAGTGTGAGAAAGGTATTGTATAAGGCCAAAAAATTAAGTGACCCAAAACTTGTTTTCTATGCATATTTCATAAAGAAAACACGATTAGAGTCGTTTAAAAATCTCCATTCGCTCTTTAATCCAAAAATATGTGAATAAATGCGTGAAAATGATAATTGAATAAAAAAAAACAACGTATCATGAATCACACCAAGTGCATTTATAAAAACGTTTAAAAAACTGTTTCATCAACAAAGTTCCATATCAAGTGTTTAATTAAATGCATTGCTTCACTGCAAAGCGCTCTTAATTAAGACACATAGTCAAATTACTGTAATACGGTGACTTAAAGCGCGAACTCAATAACAACATGATGATGAAACATACTTAATTCGAATAGGTCAGAGTGTTTGTACACAACAATTTGTGGGTGCAATTAAGATTCTTCAATGAAAAACAATAGAGTATCATTTTTGCAGTCGATCTGATGATTCATAGACTGAATGAACTTGCATAAAATGTGTCACACACTTAAGTCCTGTGACAAATACTGTAAAAACAATTTGATGTAACGGAAGTGACTCAAAAAGATCTCATGATTTATTATGTGTTAGTTTTATTTATCAAAATAACATTCCAGCGATATTGGTTTGGAATATTTATGCCCTTTTGAACACACGTTGTGTGAATGATTAACATTCACTTAAATTTGATTAAGTTATCACATTTTCGATTATCGTCATAAATTATGATTTATTAGCATACCAATGACTATTTCGATCAGTAGACAAATCTGGCCAATACCATTTGGGCGAATTCAGTGAAAACTCGAACTTGTCCCACAAACCTTATTGTTGAATTGCTGAGATCATTGCTGGTAATGACCCAAATGTCAGTCGGGGTCAAATCGATCTATAATAAATATAAGCCATATCAAATCTGGAATCCACATTTTGAATTGTTGTCAATGCAATTAATATGATTGCAGTTTAAATGTGGGTAAAGTTTACTCGGTTATGCATCGTGATGCACTAATGCGCTCGAATTCCATTGGTAATCAATTTTATGAGCTTGTAAATGATCGTTTGAGTTTAGATAATTTACTTTCAATCAATTTATCAGAATCATTTTTGCTTGATTGGCATATTTTTTCGGGTTTGTGTCCAAACTCAAGCAGAGATCGACGCAGTAAAAATGAGAAGTTCATAAAAAAACAATTTATTTTATCTAAATTACTGTTCAATTTGTTGTCAATTTCGATAATTCTCTAAACGCCTCTCTAAATTCTCTAAACACCTTTTCCTCCCGAATGCGTAAAAACGGGACTTTTGAACTATGAAATGAAAAAGTGACGTGCGAATTTCCCCGATCTTGGCAGTGACCACTAATTTCATATTTCTTCCAAATTAATTTATCGAATCAAATCAAAAATGACAATGAATCTTATCAATTGAATAAATGACTCATCATTTGACGTATCTTGTATTTGAATTAAATAGAACCAATTAAATTAGTTAAAGTGGGGAATCGGTCTTCAAGTGATCAATTGTTGTGATATGAATAGAACTTATGCTGAAGAGGGGAACAACGATGGACCTAGTGCCATCTGTTGTAAGTATGAAGAACAATTGAACTTTCTTGCAAGTTCTGCAGAGGGGAAGTGCTCAACCAACATTGGTTCTTTCTGTATTTTTATTGCACTGCTTTAATTTACCCCTCATCCCTATGTAAATCAAATGGACGAGAGAAGTAAATGGCATTCAAATTATATAGTACATAAGCTGTATAGTTTTTGACTTCATTTGAAAGTAGGTTCAATCACTGTTAACTACGAAGTTCATTGAAACTACGAATAAATGTTGAGATTCAAATAAAATCGATGATGACTGACCCGTTGGCAAGTTTTATTTGATGAAAAACATTGAAATAAAATGAGGCTATTTCAAAAAGTTAACATTGAATAATTTGATGATTTTTTGTGTACGATCGATTTTTGATGTAAAGTCAGCATATTGAATGAGCCAAATGAAAACGGTTATTGCTTCAATTGGAATCAATATTCAATGCTAAATCAACGGCCAATCGCCAACATGGAAAAGATAAACCAATTCAGTGTCTGGAATTTATTGATTTACTATAAATGGGTTTTTTCTGCGATTTCTTCATGAATCAAATTCATTCAAAACAATTCACACCAATTTTCATTTTTTTAACTCAACTTTCAATTTTATTTTTTTTTCATTTTTTGTAGATGAATGAGGTCAAAATAAAAGAAAGTAAATGTTTTAGCAATCCTCTCTGACTAAAATGTTCAAACAATAACAACAGCAATCAATTAAAGACCGATTATACCTTTCGGTGTGTGGTATTTTTCAAAATTTTCAATTAAATAAAAATAAATTAATAAGTTTAAAATGATTAAGAAACACAGACTGAAGAGATAAGGTAACTGTAAGGGCTCAAAATTTGGGAAAATTGTAAAAATAGTAATTTTTCTTCGAAATAAATACCTAGACTTTTTAAAAACAAACCATTTTTGGTCATGTTTTTTCGTCATAAGTCAAACTATTGCGATGAAATTAAAATGAAAGGAAAAAATAAAAATGAAAGGAAAAATATCGCATATTTTCATTAATTTCATATTTTATTGAATTTGATACTGAATTTGACTTGACCCTGCAATCCAATCTTGACGCTAAAAATCGACATATTAAAGGACTTACTTAAATTCTTAAATAATTTCACTTGAAAAAATGTTGGCTAGTGATTTCACACGGCAAAATATTAAAACGGCGACGTCTTTAGAGTGTAAATTGAATTCAAAAGTGCAAAACTAATCAAGCTACATGATTTTACTACCGCCTTACGTCAAAAGATTTTTTTTAGAAAAATAATAAATATTTCCTTTTCTTTGTTCGCCCATTTAAGGTAGCAAATACATGATATCTCATTATTAGTACAGTAACCCTCTGCTGTTACATTAACGTCATTACAATTCCCAAGTCCATGAAAATTGTATGAAACAGATTCCATTTATTAGATAAAACATAAAAGTTTATTCAAGTATATATAACTTTATCATGCGCGGCTATTGTTCAATTGGTACTATGACTTCTTCCTCTATTACTTTTAATAACTTGATATTCTGCGAAAAAATTCCAAGAGCCGTGTCTGCGGAAATGGAAAAGTAATTGATTGCGTTAAGGAAGAACAATTTCGCAAGAAATATTGACTTTTTATTCATTTCCAAGTCTCTTTTTCAGAAAATTCAAGGTTGAATTTCACATCAATTTTGATACACAAAAATCCACCATAATTGATGTACGAAAAATGACCGATGTTTTTAACCTTTCCTGAATCTTCAAGTGCGTCGAACGGCACTTATATATATACAGCTGAAATGCGATAGGGAAACAAATCAAATATATAACGTCTTCTACAAAATTGGTGTAGCTGAAAATAAACAACAAAAATTGAATCGATATAAAGTGTGCCGTTTTCGGCATTCCCTGTAAATTACACGCACAAAAAAAGAAAGTTATTTTTCTTCGAAATAAAAATCCCGTGAAAATAAATTTTTCCTTAAAAAAATCGACGGCTATTTCGGTTCGACCGTGTAACATAGATGTGTAAGATAACATACCGCTGTTTAATTGAGTCTACCTTCAAAATTCTAATTAATGCGCAAAGCTTGAAAAAAAACTTCTTCGAAATGAAAATGATTCATCAAAAAAGCGAGCATTTCATTTAACATTGTTATCACTTGGTGTACGTTAATTTACGCATATTTTGAATGCCATGAAATTGTAATGTTTCCCACTCATCGAAAAAGTTGTATTTTGAAACAAAATCCACTGAGCGAGCCATTTTTCTCCATCGGTCGACATTACCAAAAAACCCGATGCGAGTATGTAAGTCAAAAGTAATACATTTTTTTCGAGTGCGAAAAGTCTCCGATTCTCCCACTTTGAGCGGTACTAATTAAAATTGTCAAGTGCTTTGTAAACAAAACAAAGCGTACACCGAATGAATGAAAAACGCCAGAGCATTGGCTGATGGTTTTTTTTAAACCCGAAAACAAAGGGCTGCATTTTTTTTGTTTCCGCGGATGGAAAAGTTTGAATGATGATGGTGTGGCCGTGTGCGAGTCATTACCTGTGACTTTGTGTTCGAGTTTGTGTCGACTTTTTTCTACTTATTATCAAACACACATACAATGGCGAACAAAAAAAAAATCAAATTGGCTGTTTAGCGAAGTGAAAATAGATCTTGGGCGACTAATTGAAAAAAAAAAGAAGATCGAGAACTCTCTTGTCGTCGTCATCATAAAAATCTGCATTGTTTGCCGCAACATTGGATTGCCGAAGAAAAATCATTCACATTTCCGTACAATGCAACAGAGAGAGAACTGCTTGAGACGACTTCATGGTCTTTTGTTTTCGCTTCATTCGAATCTGTGGAGGCACAAAAAAATGTTGGAAAAACGGTTTGCGAACAGAAAAAAAATGGAATTGAAAATGAAACCGTTGACATGAATTTAAATTGTTATATGCACAGAGAAAAGTAGTTGAGGCTTTGTGTCGAAAGATGATGAAAATATTTGCTTAGTTCTCGATGTCGTTGGCATTTTTCTCTTCATCTCTCGATTTTTTTCTATTTTAAAAACAGGAGCTGGAATTTCTTTTGCGTTTTTTTTCTCGCTGTCAATTCGTTTCGTGTTTTTAATTATTTTCTTTTTGCCCGCGCACAACATCGGATATTAAAAACCTTTTCTATCAAAAGCTGAAGTTTGGAGTGC